CGACGAGCGATCTTGGAGTATCGTCTGATTATCGAGAAGGAAAAATTTAATCGGCTAACACCTAATCTGTACCCGATCAACCCCAAGAGACATATCCCTCTCATAATTTTCTTTCTTCTTTTCGCTCTTCCTACCTTACTTTCCACCATCGCCTCTTTTAGCTTTCCGCTTTTTATCCCTGGCTCGCTCTCTCAACCACTCGAGCATTCCCAGGCTCCAGCAGACTTTGATTTTTTCTCGCCACTTGTGAAAGTAGAATCTAATTCCGCTCTCACGCTTAGTTGATTTAACCAGTTTAATAAATACTAAAATGTCTCCTCCTTCCGATATAATGCATTTGGACTGTTGAGGTCTACCTCACCCGTTCTCGAGCGCTCTTGTCCTTCTTCCCCTTCTCGTTCGTTCAATCAACGAGGCTATCAAGGGAGTAAGGGAAAGTTCTACAGAAACTTCGTCCCATGACGGCTTCGGATCAACCCCTATCTCTACTAAAGAGCATCGTTCACTCCTCGTTCCATCATTGAGGTAAAACGTAACGAGATACATAGTCACGAAAAGCAACAGGCCAAGGTTAAAGCCGTACCAGTAGCACCAGCAGTGGTAAGTACGAGCATACGCGGACGCAAGAATGAGCAGCAAGAGAAAAGAGAGAGACACGCCTATTCTCCTGTCTCGTGCCTCGATCGCAAATTGCAATCCCGCGACCCAATTTTCAGTCCCGACCGAATCTTTGCCCTCTGATCTCCTCAGGTCAATAACAGATCCCTTCCCAAGTTCTGACAATCTCTCAAGTCTCATCAACGTGCTTTTGGGATCGTTTGCATYCTCGACAGACTTCACTTCTACTACGGCCCTCTCATTACTGTCTTGGYCGGATACGAGTCGATTCTCAGCCTCTTGTCTTATCAAACGACTTTCAACTATTTCTCCTTCAACACCCATCACATTGTACCCACTTATCAATGTGTAATGACTCGTTCCAAAGTCCTCAATATCATTTAAAGCTATCGGATTTGGGCTCGCAGTTACCGTAAGACAATTCTCCGCAACGTTTTCAGATATATCGACAATCTCAAACAGTTGGGAAAGATCGTAGCCGACGTCCGGTTCGACGGTCTCAAACAGTTGAGCAAGCTCATAGCTAACGTCTCGCTCGACGGTCTCAAACAGTTGAGCAAGATCAYAATTGATATCTGTCCGGATGGTCTCACACTGTTGGACAACTTGAAGCTCATAGCTCATGTCCCGTTCGATGATCTCAAGCAGTTGGGCAAGCCTATAGCTTATATCCGGATCCTCTATCCTCTCGCTCTGGGTATCCGCTGCACCTTTTGAGTCTTCGCATTCTTCCTCCATTTGCTTCCACCTCCATTGTCGTGGTTTGATTTACCAATTTTTCTTGAACAACCTTCGGTCCTTTGCCCCTCGGCGAGACTTTATTATCAAGGCTAGTATTATCGGCTTTATTTTAATCTGATTCCTCACTCACTTTCTTAGCACACACTAGAGTTGCATCCGAATCCTCCTCGGAACTCTCCAACCGAATATTGGAAACCCCAACTGTCAAACTATCATTCGGGTCTGGCTCCTCCTCAAACCGGAGACTTGATACCCAGAACTCTCCCCTCTCTTGCTCTTCCACTGTCCTCGCTTTAATGCCAATATTCATTTTCGTAGAAGTTCGRCAGAGTGTATCTTCCTCCTCATTCTCTTCTGTAAACCGGTTCTCCTCAAACCTGATACTCGGCACCCAAATTTCTCCAGGAATCACCTCCTGCGTTGTTCCTGCATTAATGTCAGTATTCATCTTTGTAGAAGGTCCGCATGATATATCTTTCTTGTCATTTGCACACTCGATCTTTCTCCACTCGTTCAGCTCGATGGTTTTCTCAGAGTTCTTTTCTCGTCTGCCCCGAGGCTCTTGTTGTAAGGGAATCTTCAATGGTTTCTCGCTCCTCCGATGTGAGACATTCTTCGTTTTCTTTATCCTCTCTCGTTCAACCCTTAGGGCTTCTATCTCCTTGACCGTTTCCCATCCTTCCCTATGTGATCTCCATCGTTCTCCCTTTTCTTCTCTACTTCTCCAACGCCTATCTCGAAATCCCCTACCGTCGCTCTTCTCCCAGCTGCCACGGCTTCCTCCTTTCCATTCCCCACTATCTCTACTTACTTTACTTTTGTGAGGCGGCATGAACTCTCTTCCATCCTCATCACCGAATTGTTTTTCTAAATGACTTCCGCGTACTCCTTTCCCTAGTTTCTCCAACACCCCACGTAGATGAGCTTTGGCATCTAGTCCCCAGTCTGCAAAGACAATGCCTTTGTCTGAGCGAACGACACCCTTTCAGTGGGAGTGTTSTCCTTAACAAACTCTCTTCTCTTGATAGGTAGARTCCCCATGAATATACCGCATCGTTCTATCTCACCGAGAAACCCATTTTCTATCAATGGTTCAGATGCCGTGTCAAAGCGTCTCGCAAACGCCATTAACGTCTCTCCTTCCTCCTTCTTCATCACCTTTAAATCCTCGATCGAGTACGAGATATGGTCGCAAGCAAAGGTTCGAGACTATGACTCTCTGAAAGTTGCCCACTTCCAATCCTCGGGTATAGCAGCGCGCACGTCTTTGTCTAGTCTAAGATCGGTATGATTAATGAATCCCTTTATCGCTTCTCGATCAGTCCATCCCGCTCTCAAGGCATAAACTTCCCAGTCATTCAGGAACTCTGTCAACCGATGTCTCGTGAAACATAGAGGCTGACCGAAATACGGTGGTTGGTAAAACAAAGGACTGCACAACGGCCCGCACGCCATAGCATATGGACTCGGTCTACATGGTAGCTCATATCGTCCTTTCCGCCAAGTTTCTCCTTCTCCGTTCGTCATCCTTTCTYCTCCATCAGAATTCTCCACCGCCATCTTTCTCTCAGGAATATTAAGCTCACTCCTCATCTCCGAAAGATAAGCCTTCTCCATAACTTCCCGGCGCTTCTTTTTCAACCCTCCATTAACCTTACTAATCAACAAAGAGATGGAAGGTTACTCTCTCAGACGTTGTGTAGCCCAGCCCGACTGATGAGCTCATAGATCCCCACGACARRCCTCCACTGGACCCGCCTATATCCCTGACAACGTCAACAGGCCTAGAAGAGAACCGCCCTCTGGCGTATCTCCTCCTACCCTCATGTCGAAAGAGAGGCTGATCCCATGTCGCCATCATCGCTGGCCTACCGATCCCGAGAGCGATCCCTTGACGCGAGCAAGCCAACTTGTGCGTCATAGGGTCGGACCGAAGTCACACGCTCACGGCACGACGATATCTCCATCGTGCAACCCTATCCGGCACCATGTGTCTACTCGGCCYACCTCAGACATGGATTTACCCGGGATGCTTTCCCCCCGACACTGTGTAGTGTCCTAATCAGATCTTCCGCTAGCAATCGGATCAACTAGCCTATCTATTTCCCCCCAACTCCTTGCGATCCGGGGCGCTTCTCCCCTCCCCTTCATTCCCTCCATTTCTTCCCCTGCTTACAAGTTTCTCTCTTGGAGTCAGATCAGGGTAGACTGACGAAAGGGTAGGGAAAAACCAGAATTATCTCGCTCRATCACAATCTTAAGAAGGATGGAAGGAAAAAAATGCATGAGATCACCAAATGCAAGAATCAAGAATATCACGAGCATTGCAAAAATCGACGTCTCACCAGGGCACGCCGATCGTTGGTTGGCTGATTTTTTGTCGCCCGCTCCGCTCTAGTCGTACTCCTCTCCTGATCCTCTCACGTCCCCGCGGTTACAGGCGGACCGAAGTCCCGAGAGGCAGCCTTCCCCGGCAACGGCGCCACTCTCGACTGGTAGAAGGGATCTGCCGGCACACTGTCCGAACCCTATACCTCGCGCCGCATCTGTCACCCACGCGAGGGTTGGACGGGGCTCCTGTAACCTGCAAGAAATCAACCTCATTAGTATCACCAAAATACGCTAACACCGCAATATAAGGCAGGAAACTGCTGACGACGAAACWGATTGTAGAAATGATCGAAATGAGAGTTTTGATTTAATTCATAATAGTATTAAAGTTCGCACTGCGACGAGGCCCTGGGCCTTGCCCATAGGAAGAGTCTGTGAAGTTCTTCTGAATCCCGTCAGAACGCGACTTCACCGTGAGAACGGCTTGACGCGGTAAATAGGCCTAGCGCGTGTGTGTACGTGTTYGACATTTGAGTAAAATAAGCCTGGTATCTKAATTGGYGGGGCACTTTCGSAGCACCTACGAGGGGTGGCGGTAGTGAACCTGTCTCCTTTCCACTCGGTGAAGTCGCGGATCTTAGCCGGTTCGTGTTGCTGGTCGAGTTTCTGTTCTCGATCGGAGTCTGGCTCTGTACCGCTCGGCTGACTCGGCCTGGTATAGTTTAGCCTGAACTGTCTGTATGGTCTGAGCTGGTCTGAGTTGGTCTGGTATGGTCTGATCCAGTCGGAATCTGGCCTGGCCTGTCTGGTCTGATTCGGGTCTGGTCTGGTCTGGACTTCTTTGAACTGGTCCGGGTTGGTGTGGTACGGCCTGATCCTGGTTTGGCCTGTCTCGTCTGATTCTGTTTTCTGGCCTGGTCTCGACTGCTCTGAACTGGTCCGGGTTGGTCTGGTACGGTCTGGGCAGGTCTAATCTGGTCAAGTCTGATCTGGTCTGATCTTAATCTTGTCTAATCTGACCCAGTTTGGGCCCCGTCAAGTCCGATCTCATCTGATGGATCCGGTATGGTCTGGTCTGGTCTGGGCCTGGTCTGCTCCGGTCTGAACTTGGCTGGTCCAGTATGATTTGGCCTGATCCGGACCTGGTCTGGTCCGGGGATGGTTTGTTCTGGGTCTGACCCGGGTCTGATCTGCTCCAGTACGAACTTGCCTGGTCTGTTCCCAACCTGGTCTTGTCTGGTCTGTGTTGGGTGTCATCTGGTCTGGTCCTGATCTGTCCTGGTCTGTTCCGGTCCGGTCCGGTTCTGTTCTGAACTAGACTTTTCTGATATGGTCCTACCTGTAGGGGCACAGCATAAGCTCGTAAGCGGCAATGCTAGCATAGTCTCGTCATCCTCAAGTAAGAACCAATGCCGAAATCCTGTCAGGCGGTGAGCACCCAGACTTACAGGTGACAAATCGTATCTACTATAGCGCGGCTGGTGACGCCGCAGCTTCCAGAAGCATGAACAGATCTTGGCCAATGTCGTTCGCCACAGGCATCAGGTAAGTCTCTCGAATCTCTCCCAACCTTGATGACGTTAACAACCTCTCGAAGCACGAGCAGATCTTGGCCAGTGTCGTACGCCTCAAGCACCAGGTATGTCTCGCGTATCACTCACAACCTCACAGTCTTTCTCTCTCACGAAGTCCCGTTCATTTGCATCTGCGCCCAACAGCTATCCCATTCCCTCGAAAAGGGAATGAACTTAGTGCGCGGTTGCGTCCGTGTGCATCCTCCGACTGCGCCTCCCACTCTCTCTCTCTCTCTTTCTCTCTTTCACCCGTGCTCTTGTGCCCGCGCACGCACGTAGCCCGCGCAGCCTCCCACTGTCCCTTTCGTCATCGGCGCAACCCTGTTTGCTTCTTGCGCAGCTTTGCGCTGCTCCGATAACACTTGCGCAACTCTTTTGGCCACTTGCGCATATTCGTGATGCCCCGATCATCATTCACGCAGCCTCTTTGAGGACTTGCGCACCATACAGTCGGTCCTCTCTCTCTCTCTTTCTCTCTCTCTCTCTCTCTCTCTCTCTCTCTCTCTCTCTCTCTCTTGCGCGCGTGCGCGCGCGCGCGCACGGGCGCATAGCTAATTTGTTTGATCGTGCGCGCACGTGCGGAGGCCCCACGTGGACGACCTTTCCCGCACAAGATCCTTTCCCGCGCCGCTAATTCTTTCTCGCGCGGCTTCGTTTCTCCTTCCCCGCTTGCGTTGCTCAGCACTGCGTCTCCCGTTCCTTCCTCTCTCACGTGCATTCAACAACTTCTTCTCCCGCGCTGCCAACTCCCTTTTTGCGCGGAAGCTCTCGACTTCACATTCGCTTTCTCCCCCCTGGGATCTGAACGAACCCGGTGCGCGATCATGGTCGAGTGCATCCGGTGTTTGCCCCTCACTCTCTCTCTCTCAGGCGCGCGCACGCAGCAACTCACTACGCACGATCGTCCCCCGTCGCGCAGCTCCCTATCTCCCTCGTGCGAACCCCTTTACTCCGCGCGTTGGTCCTTCCCCTTCACGCGCAGCTCTAGCTCCGCGCATTGTCTCCTACACGCAGCTCCTCCTCCTTTGTGCACAGCTTCTGCTTCTTCCGCGCATCTCTATGCTCCCCCGCACAGGCAAGCCCGTTCGCGCGCATCTTTCACTGATGCAGCTCGTCGTGACGATTGAGMAAACTCGATGAGTCCACTCATATTTGCGCACTTGATCCGATTCGAACTTCGATCGATAGTTCGTGCTCTGAATGTGAGCCGCCCGTTTCTGATAGGACAACCCTTCCGTGAGCTAGATGGCCCGTTCCGCCGGATCGTCTTCGTCGTTTGGATGATGGGCATGGTGGTTAGCCGGCTGTGGGAGCCCCTTTCGTGCACTCATGTACCCGTTCTCCGTGTCGCCTACAAGTCCCACCCCGCGCTTCCGTGAGCCAGCACCCGTGTGCTAGCCCGGTCCGCCTGTCCCGTGCCCTTCTGAGCCAGCACACCTCGTGTGCCTGCCCGTGCGCCGTTCCTGTGTGCAAGTCAGAATCCCCCTCCGCTCGTGTCCTCTCGTGCGCTTGTGAGCTAGCACACTTCGTGTGCCAGCCCGTGCACGGCTCCTTGCGCCAGTCAGAATCCCTCGAGAATGAGCCCTCTTGAGCTTATAAAGTTTGCTGGTCCCACGGTACCAGCTCCCAGCAGCCCGCTCTCACCCGCCGTTGGCCGATCCGTGTCAGGAACTTTGCAGCGCCCTGGTACCGGGCCTATGCCCGAGCCTGTTTGGGCCCCGGAAAGGTCTTTGTCGAGGAGAGCCTTTTTGTCGGGAACCGGGCGTTTGCAGCGCCCCRGTACCGGACCTATTTCCGAACCTGCCCCGGGCCTATCT